GAGTCACAGACTGAAACAGGCTCCAGGCTCTGAGCTGGCAGTCAGCACAGAGCCCGACGCGGGGCTCAAATCCACGAACCGCGAGATCATGACCTAAGCGAAAGTTGGACGCTTAACCGACTAAGCCACCCAGGCGCCCCCCCCCTTTTTTTTTTTTAAACCTTGTAATAAAGATTCTAAGAATTCCTACAGTAAATAAATCTGTAAGACATAGCTTAACTCCATATTACTCCAACATATGTAACACAGAACTGTGTGTGAGTGTGTGGTATACCATTAGCATCCTGATGAACTAGAGAATATTAGGATTAGGAATATAGGCTTTGGGGAAAAGAGGTATCAGTGAACAATGACAGCTTTACTGCTTATTACTAGCTGTGTGACCTTAAGAAAATCATGTAATCTTTATGATCTTTACTTCTCCCTTTGAAAACTGGAGATCATACCTATACATCAGGGACTTGCAGGAAGATTGAATGTAATAATGTATAGAAAGAACATATCACAGCTCCTGGCATCAAGTGGATCTTCCCCAAATGGTCAGCCATTATTTTCATGTTATTGTTTATGAAGTTAAACTGAATGGCTGAGACTTTCTGGGCCCCAGGAGAAACATGTTAGGAACTGCTAGATTTCACTTACGGGCTTGAAATATTTGTGAGTGTTGTATTGGAAGTCTGGATGTGAGTGTGATCTTTTCTGTCTCCCTTTGTTCATCCTTGAGTAAGGATGTGTGTTCAGCCTTGAATGTCTCCCTGCACTTCATTCTCAACACAACACCCGAGGGGTTCTTTTAAACCAGAAGTGGGAACATGTCACTTCTCTAAAGCTCTCCACCTCGCTCAAAACAAAAACTGGAGCCTTCATAACATCCTCCAAGTTCTATGTCATCTAGCCTGCCAATGCCTATTGTACATCATTTTCTACTGTTGCTTATTCGGCTCTGGCAAATAGACTTCCTTGCTGCTCCTTGGACATGTCAGGAACACACGTCAGGAACCTCAGGACCTTTGCACTTGCTGGTCCCTCATGTAAGGTATCATTCCTCCAATTGTGTGCATAGTTCCTTCCCTTAGCGCTTGCAGGTCTTCACTGTAACGTTTCCTCCTTAAACTTACATACATCCCTATATACACCTGGCACTTTCCACTCCTCTTTGCTCTACATTTCTTTACTACACATCTAATATTTGCCTGTTAGTGTTTTGTTTCTTGTCTGTTTCCATTCAACGAAACATAAGCTTCATGAGAGTAGAGATTTTGTCCCTTTCATTCTCTCCCATAGCTTAGTGTCTAGGATTGTGCCTGGCACATCGTAGATGCTCAATAAATGCTTATTAAATTAAATATATGTAAGAACTACATGCATTTTGTTGCTATAGACTAAGTACATTTCCTCTAAGCCCAGTTTTGGATGGCTCATTGAAGCATGAAACACACAATTACAGGCTGGTCTGTGGTTTTTATTAGTGTTTTCTGGGACCCATCAAACAAAAAACTATACTTTGAAAAATAGAACTCTTTCATAAAACAAAAATACTCAGTGTTAATTTCACATAGTTTGAAGGGTAAGATTTCTGATTTAAAAAAAAATAGTGGCAGTAGGATTGTTTTTCACAAATTGCCAACCCAGAAGCCAAATGGGAAGAAAAGCAAGAATTATGCAGATAGTTACAGAAAGATTAATCCCAATTAAACTAACTTTGTGAGGGCTTATACATTCCAGGGGCTCATAAGGCACCGTCTCAGTGGGGTTTTATTAAGTGCTCTATATCTTATTCCAGAAATGGAATCCTGAGACCCAAAGCTAAAGCTGACTCAGCTCTGATACCGTTGTTGCTGTGCTGTCCCTTTACCCCCACAGTATGTATCCAGGCAATAGGGTCATGTGGAACATCTATTACATTCCATCCAGTTAAAGAAGCTCCTCACATATTTGGCTCCATGATGTGCACCTAGTAGGCACTCAATAGTAACTATAGAAGAATAACATAACTGTCTTTCCCTCTTACTAGTTTACCTTCTCCTATATTTTATACATTTGAAAAACAACACACTTGCAAAATTAAAGTCTAACATGCATGTCTAAAATTATCAAAAGATCCCTCAGCATTTTTCAAAGTGACAAAAAAATATATATATATAAACCAACCCCCGTATACTAAAACTCAGAACTGCTTTACACTTAAATAGCAATTTACATCATATAAACACATTCATAATCTTCATTGGTTAAAACAGGTCAAAGGTCCATTACTGGCTTCTTGTACCAAATAAGGCTCACAGCTCCTAATAAGGCAACAGAATTCTCAGCCGACATATGTTGGCTTGTGAAACCAAACAACTTGTCTGTTTGGTTTCATTTTAGCACAAGGAGGAAGGCAAAGTAAAAAGTCTCACAGTAGAATGTTCATCTCATAGATAATGTGTCCTTGAAGTGGTAGCCATTGTGCTTTTATTCCAGTGAAGAAATGATTCACATCCCAATTATGGATATGGAGACATCTTCCAGAAGACATTCATCCATTAAGTCAACAAATATTTGCTGAGGACCTATCTCATGCTAGGTGCTGGGAAATATGGGTAATATATAGTCCCTGCCCTCAAAGAGCTTACAGTCTAACAAGGCAAGAACTTTAAGGAAGAACCAGCATGTTCAAAGGAAAACTCATCACCTGGGTCTGCCCTGGACAGAAGACAAGTTCAAGTAGCTGCAGGTGTCTGTTTCTGGAATTCAGGGCCTTTGCTCAAATTTCATCAAGTCAAATATCCTGGAGCCTCAGATTATCTAAGTCTGATAAAGTCTTAGCAACACATGTCCTGCCTCAGATTCCCATGAGAACGACAAACTAGAGCCTAAGCCTTGAGAATTCAAGGAGACCAGATATAATGAGCATGTGAGCATCCAACACAGATAAGTTTTCTTGAGTGAGGAGCTAAGAGTCCCCACAAGAGTTCCCGTGGAAGTGGGGGGCTTCACCCGATGCTGGCTTATCTCTGGGATTTTGCTCTCCCTTGCAACACTGTGGTGGGAAGTATTCTGTTCACACCCTAAGTTGGCATGGCTCAATTACTGTGAGTTCTCCAAGTCACGAACAGCACATCGAAAATGCATCAGCTCAAGCCAAGACAATAGAGAGATATGCTAAGAACTTAATACTCCAGCCTATTTAAGCAAGAACTAGGTGCCAAGAAACCGTCACTTTCAACAAATACTGCAATCTGCTAATTATCTGCACAACTGTTCCGATCAGTACTCTCCAGATTTACTTACTACCTAGCAGAAAGTGCCCTTGATGGAGAGGGTGCAGAAAGAGCCAAGGCCAATTTGGAGGAATATGAGAAACAGACAACTTTGGGGAAGGGTGAACTCAGGGAAGGATCTAGCCACCTTAGGTGATGAACAGGCAAGGGCAGGGAGGAAAATGCAGAGAGCATACTTGAAGAGGTCCCTAATAACGACACATGGTTCAGATGCACACAGACATGCAAGCATTCGTGTATTTACACCAGTTCAGATAGCTGGATGTGTAATTCATTCCATGTGAAACGTAAAATGCTGGAAAGGCCTCACTGTCCTTCTGCTTCACTTGGAAAAACACGCTGTGTTTTTTATGCAAGCAGATTTCAGGTCTGTGTTGCTCATTGTTGTTTCTCACAGTTCCCTCAGTAACTGTTACTTGACAGCCTATGTGGAGGTGACCAAGCCAGGCGGAAATAAAAGTGGACTTGGTGGTAACTTCAGAAGATCATCTCGCTAAGCCGGGGCTCCAAGGTCACCATCCATAAGGGCTCTCATTATAATCAGGACAAATTCTTAATTCTTACTTCCTACCTTCTGAATATACTACAAACACCACAACCTTTGGCTGTGAATCGCTCACCTTCGCTGAGTGAGACACGGTGGTAGGTGCTCCATTACTTGATGAGATCCGTTGTCTTCACCCCTGCATTTTTGCTCAAGATAGAGAGGCAAAAGGGGGGAGGAAAGGCAAGGACATGGGAAACCAAAACAAAAAGGTGCTAAAGGGATCTGAGTGCTTAAACTCACTTGCAAAGTGTCTACAGGCCCATGTCCCGCCCAGCTGGCGGGGCCCAGTGTCAGGTCTCCAAGCACCTCAGAGCAATTCCACTGAACAAATCCCCAGCTTCTTACTGACCAGAACTCCTGAGCTGAGCTCTCTGTTTCCCTTCCATCTTCCTTTCTTTTCTGTCTTTCTTTAAAACAAATAAACAAACATTAACAACAACAACAACAAAAATCCCTCTGGACACAAATGTAGGCAACATATCATTCACTTTGGGATGAGCCCAGATGAGACAAGAAAGAGATTATCCAAAAGAGGAATGATTAGAAGAATTAACATGTGCAAAGATTTTCCCTGGAACCCTCTCTCTTTCTCTCTCTCCCTTCCTCCCTCCTTTTCTCTCTCTCTCTCTGTCTCTCTCATTCCTTTCTCAGCATTTTCTTCTGCAACTTAATTTAGACTCTGCTTTGTGATTCTAGTGAAATGTCTTCTATTATAGTTCTCACTACATTACTATGTTCAATTTATCATCTGACTTTGGCTCTCATCTGGGGTTCTGAACATTACCTCTAGAAGTCCCATTCCTAAATTCCCAATATCCCTAACATTTTAAAAATTAAAAGTTGGTTGACTTTGCAGCCTTGCTTTTACTTTAGAAACTTAAAGATCTACACATATTTTTGTTCTGAGAGTAAATCACCACCTTCATCCTGACAGGCTACATCAGTGGTTGTCAGTCAAGGTCAGTTTTGCCTTGCAAGGGATATCTGGCAATTTCTGAAGATGTCACAACTTCAGGGATGGGAATCTTATTGGCATTTACTGGCTATAGGTCAGGGATACTGCTAAACATGCCACAATGCACAAGACAACCAAATAATGCACAACAAAGAATTACTTAGCCAAAAATGTCCATTTTTTCTAATCGAGAAACCAGGGGCTATAGGAATACAAGAGCAAACTCATCACCACCTCCTTTTCCCCATTTATTTTTGTAGCAATTGGGATAAAAACAACCAAGGCTAGACACTCTCTTAAAGATCTAGAAGTGAGCAGAGGTGGCAATTGAAGTTTTTCCCCCAATCATCCAAAGGGGAGGGAGAAAAACAGCCTTGGCATCAGGTAAATCATTCTTGAATGAGTAGAAAGCCCCCAACCATTATTCTTCTCACTGATTTAAGCATTGCAAGTCCTGTGATTATGCTGTGATCAAAGTCCACTTGGATTTTGGAAATCTTCATGTTCCACTCACGGGCTCCTAAAGCCCAGGTTAAACTTCCCAGCATCCTCTGGTTCATCCTGTCAGTCTGAGACCTTGGAGTCGATGCTCATGACCACATCCACCTCTCTTGATGAGGCCACGTGGATGTGATGCGTAAGTGCAGAGGACGCATCACCTTTTCCTAATCATTTTGCATATAAAAACATTTAATGCCCTCTAATATTTTTTTTCTTTCTTTTCGCAAGAAGCGTAAGGCTACCAATCCTGTTCTTCTTGCAGTGGAAAAGAACTTCACAACAGAGGCAAAAACAAATCACGACCACATACAAGCATCATATTTCACAGAAAACTGTGTACATTTGTTCCCCATATAGGACATACTTCAAAGTAACAAAATAATTTTATCGACTGTAGTGTTCCTTCTTCCCGTTAGAAGCGGATGCTGTTCCCTCTCCTCATGGTACATAAATATGAGAGTAGTCTTTGAAATACTCGTGTCCAGGAATTCTTGGTTGGCTATCATTTGGGGTATGTGTTGGTCTGTGTTCAAGTGTTGGCAGATTCAGTTTTCGTTTTCTCTCCATCCACGTGCGTTCTTCCCAAATTTATATACCAGTCTTCGTCCATCTACACGCTCCAGAATTTCTCTTTTGTAGTAATATCTGTAACAAAGGACATCGCGTGAGGTGGCTGGGCAGACTAAGACCGCCAAGGAAATACCTGGTCATGGCTGGGACTGGAAACTCCTCACCTCATCGCTCGGCTGAGTTTTTCATAGGTCATGCTGCTGTTGTTCTTCTTTTTCCCCCACAGCTGAGCCACAGCTTCCGATTTCAAGAACCTGAAGATGCCCTCAGACCGGTCTTCCCACTTGATTAACCCCGGGTTCTTGTCTGGGTTCAGGAGGATGTCACGGATGAATTCCCATAAGTGAGTCCCTCGTGGATCTGAGGAGAAGTTGGAAAAGGAGTTTATTAATGGCCTAAGTCACAGCAAAGAAGGAGCAGTGGAAGCACAGTTTGTGACATTTTCCAGCAAATAGGACATACTCCATTTTCCCCTATCTACCAGCAAAGTCAGACAACAAGATGACCAAATATCAGAACTAAACAAAAGGCATTTGGGGTGCCTGGGTGGCTCAGCTGGTCGAGCATCCAACTTCAACTCAGGTCATAATCTCATGATGTAAGTTCAAGCCCCAGGTCAGGCTCTGTGCTGACAAACAGCTCAGAGCCTGAGCCTGCTTCAGATTCTCTATCTCCCTCTCTCTCTGCCCCTCCCCTGCTCATGCTCTGTCTCTCAAAAATAAATTTTAAAAAATGTTTAAAAAATGTTTTAAATAAACAAAAGGCATTTGAGAATGAACTAGCACAAGTTTTTAGCTTATAAATCAAGAGTCTGAGACACAAAGAATGTAAGTGATTTGATTGAGATCGCCCAATTAACCAGTGTTAAGCTAAGACAAAGGAATAGGTCTCAGACCTCCAATGCCAGGGGGGAGTCTCTTTGAATTACCATTGACAAATTGCTCAGGATTCATTTTAATCCATTATTTCCCTGAGGAGCAAATTTCAACCACTTTCGTTTAGGACCTCAGCCCAAGTGTATCACTTTCACCCAGCGACTGTGCCTCAGTCAAATGCACATTGACAGGGCTCTGGAACTTTAACCTCCTAGAATATATGGGGGCAGGGTCTTGTAGGAGTGAGGGGGCCAATTTGAAAATGAAGCGGTTACCAAAATGAGATTAGCAACCGAATCCTACTTGACCCCCACCAGACTCAGCCACACAATTCCTCCTGCCGTGGGAGGTTCTGTGCTCATTCAATTCTGTGGAATGATGTGGAGTACAGATAGTAAAGATGCCCTGTTCCCTATCATTCGTAGATTACACCATCTTGATTTCTTTCTGTGCCCTCTTCTCCATGACTCTGATACTTCCTAGATCTTCGTTTGATTACTGGGGGACATATGACTTCGAAAGAGCACTGTTGACTCTTAAGGGTAAACAGTCATTTCCTGGATTGATAACTCAACAGAGGTAGGAAGCCAACAGTCAACAAAAGGAAAAAAAAAAGAAAAAGATACATCTCAGCTACTTCTTCCCATCTTTCTTCTCTTCCCATCCACTTTTCTGGAATGGGGGAAATCACCAACCTCCTGCCTGCAAGAAGTGCTTATGCACCTGGTATCTCAGTTTTAGAACAAATAGAGCAGCGTGAAGAGGAGCCATCCAGTGGGTCTCCACTTTGAGAAACTGCAGAGGGGCTTACCCAGCAAGTGATGCCCCTACTGTCTCACTAACACTGGCTGAGGTAAAGAAGGGAAGGCAACAGACAGAGGCATATTTGCCTAAAAACTAGCAGCCTGCAATTACGCCCAACGTGAAAGGAAGGGTCAAGAGCCATCTGAAAGCCCACCAACTTACTGTGTTTTTTGGTGTGGGACTTTGCAGGGTGGTCTTGCTCCTTTTTTATCTCAGGTGACTCTGCTAACGGGAAAAACAAGAGCTGTTTAATTTATCTCTTTCCTACAATCCTCATTCCCATTCATTCATCCACTCATTTAACCAATATTTTTTGAGCACCTAGAACATGCCTGGCACTGTTTGTATATATGGTATATGAGCAAAACAAAATAGAGCTGATAAAAACTATGAAGGAAAATATCGCAGGAAAAGAAATGGGGACAGAAGTATGATGACGGGAGTAATTTGCTGCTTAATATAAGGTGGTCACAAGAAGACCTCTCGGGTAAGGGGACCAGAAGGATGTGAGGAAAACAGCCAGCCATGAAGAGAGCTTATGGAAGAACCTGCTATGAATAAGAATAGTAAGCGCTAAGGCCCTGGTGTCAGTATGTGTTTGGTAAATTCAACAGAATAGAAGGAATCCGGTGCAGCTGTGACCAATGGGCAGAGGTTCAGCCTTGATGGGACTCTTTGGATTTAGCTTTATACTGAGAGAGATAGGAAGCCATTGAAGAATTTAGATCATTGAAATAGTCAAGTGTGTATGTGTATGGGGGGGTTATAATACAAAATGTAAACATTTATAACAAAGAAAATGGCTTTTAAGCCCGAGGAGTGCCCTTTTTTGGCATGCAAAGTTACATTTTAATCAGCAGACAAAGGGACCATTGACTGGCCTGAGCTCAGTACAGAGGGCCACCAGTGGACTATGGAAACATAGATTAGTTTAACAAATGACTCATTATGGTAACCCTTGTGAGTATCGCCCAAGAGAAGATGACAGAGGCAGATCTGTGAAATGAAACTTCTTAAAAAGAAAACTAATTTTCTAGCAGTGCATGCGCACGTGTGCATGGGTATGTGGAGTGTGTGTGTGTGTGTGTGTGAGAGAGAGAGAGAGAGAGAGAGAGAGAGAGAGAGAGAGAGATTGGGCACTTCAGGTACCAGAAGGACCAAGGCAAATCTTACCAAAAATCTCTCAGTCGGAAATCCATGGTATTAATACAGAGGAGAGTCTCTAAATGCAAACCAATCCTGTTAAGGAATTAGGGGCCAGTTAAACACCTCTCTTCTGTGAGCCATTACAACAGGGCTTCCTAAGCTGAGGTTCACTGGCCCCTGTGTGGCCTACAAGGGCATTTCAGACTGACTGAAACTGTGTGCAGAGGGAGAGGACCCATGGCATTCATTTAATTGTCAAGAGCATCATTATTCAAAAAAGTTAGACTAACTCTTAGCTCCTAATTAAAATGGTTAAGAAGAACAGCTACTGTTTATTGAGCACTTACTATGTACCAAGCCCTGTGCTACTTTTACCTGAATGACCTTATTTATTTCACTCAATAACCTTGTGAGGTAGGTACTATTATGATCCAAAGATTATAGCTGTGGTGGAGCTGAGACACAGAGAGGTCATATGACTTGTCTAAAGTCACACAGCCTGAAAGTAGAGTCAGGAGATGAACACAAACAATCTGAATCCAGAGGCTTTACTCATACTGCCATTCCGTGCCATTTTCATAGATGGTGGCACAGCACAGATTTCACAGAAGTCTTCCCTGCCAAGAATCGGGGTCTGTTCTATAGTGCTCTAGCTAGTGGGGAGAAGCAATTCCAACTTGAGGATTCTGTATTTTCCAGCACTCAGGGACACATTCACCTATATGGGCACCCAGCTTGTCACGACTCAGCATTCCTAGCTGTTCCTCTGCAAGGTGGGTGGATTTCATCAGCTCTGGTGAGCTGAGAAGCCTCTTATTCTTGTTAAGAATCTCTCCCCTGGCATTGCCAGCAAGAGGGCCTCCCCCTGACTTGGGTTTCTCCGAAATCTGGAAGGGCAAATTCACAGGAAATGTGAGGAGACTCCACTCTCCCTCCCTGTAGGTTTCAGGGTGAGGTTGCAACATCCCATCAGGATGTGACAGTATTGCGACAGGCCTGGCACCCACCCCGGTTTCCAAGTGATACATCACGCTGACAGGGCCGCGTTGTTCTGCAGACAAAGAGTGGCATTTACCCAGTAGGCCACAAGCAAAGCTCATTATCCAATGGCATCCAAGAGGGTTGTGGGGCCATTATTTCAGAGCCAGGCTTGAATTCAGAACAACTGAAGTGTTTCTTGGCTTCTTGGCCTCAATAATAATATTTAGGGGGTTCCAAGCTGATACAGAATCAATTACTTTGGGGTGACAGTAACTTAGCAAAAGAGATGGAAACCTTAGACCCTCTCCCCAGAAAAATGCACATATGTGCACACTCAGTGAGAATCTGTGAATAACCGCAGGGGTCTAGGCTCACGTAGGAGTCTAGATTTAAAGACCCCAGACCAGGCAGAGCATGAGGGAATTTTCTCTGTGAGATGTCAGCCATTTTCCTAGACTGGACCTCCATCCAACTTAAAGAAAAGCTAAAAATAAAGAATCCCCCAATAAAAATGGTTCCATCATAAATAATATGGAGGACAATGCAGCCAAAGGCAAAAGCAACTCAAGATTTCTTCCAGCCTCCTCTTCATGTCCCCGGTGTGTGTGGGCAAGCTGTGGAATCACCGACCTGCCTTAGCACTAAAGTCTTTTGATCTGAAAGCTCACTTTAATACAATGGCCTCTCCCCCTGTGTCTTCCCCTCACCCCAAAATAAAAGTCAAAACCTTTGAAGTTAGCCATGTGGTTAAGTGACTCATTCTTATAAAATAATGGCTCCCTCTGGGGAAGTTGTCCAGCTTGGCTTTCTCTTGCTCTGCTCCCAGGTACCTCAGGCCAAGGTCCAGTCTGGGCAAGGGCAGCACCAAGCCACAGGTTTGTGATGCAAGTTCCAGAGCATGACTTCAGCTAAGCCGCTTCGCAAGAAGTGAAGATTAGAAGCATTTGCATGTGATTCAGCTGTGAGCCATTTCTTTACGGGATATACAAATGTCAGTGTTATAATAGACCGTGCCACCCTAGCTCTAGGCTCAACAAGTCAGTGAATAAACACATCAAGCCCCAGTTGGCGTGATTGGCTCAAGGACTATCGGGCAGATCAGGAACACTGGCAGCAGCCATTTTGTGAAATGGGCAGATGACAGAGAAATCAAAACAAAGCCTGCTTCCCCACCTGCATTTATCACAGAGGGCATCAGTGTACGTTGAGCCTCGCCTTCGCTTGGCTTGTAAGTTGCATTAAAACATAGAAAGATATTTACCTGCACCCAATTTAATGGGAACTTAAAACCTAAAGACTCAGACAAATGACAAAGGTCTTTTTATAGGGGTTGGGGGTGTGTTCTGGTCCCATCCAGTAGAGACTAAACCTTTCTGGAAGGAATGGACCCATCATACAAGGCAGTAATTCAGTATCCCACGGGAGGGCTGTTCCTCCAAAGAATCTACCAAGCCCAGACGCTGAGTTGATTTCTTGTCATCATAATTCTGGTAGAGGTCCTGGATTGTTTCACGGTGTTACCATCGTAGGGTAGGAATAGGGTACAGGGGAATACAGATCAATGGAGGTAAGGGTGTGTAGATCTGGAAAGCCTACTTTTAAGGATGATTCAAATATGGAATAAAGGTACAGTGTGTTCCATGTGACTGCAAATGTGAAAGCAGAATGGGCCCTTGTTGCTTCTGAGATTCTAGAAGATAAGTCAGGATACAGAAGAAAGAAGGCTAGCCAGGCTCTGAGGGCAGGGGAGCTGTGACCTGGCTTCTATGTTTCCCAGGTGCCCGAAGACCTAATGACCCCTGAACTTAGGAAGTGGTTGGTGCAAGGTTATTCTCAGCTACAATCTTTTGTCATAAGCCAGAGACCCGACCGGAAGGACACAAGAGGTGCCACCTTACAAAGTGTGAGAGGAAGTCAGAGTGTGATCGGGCGGTTTCTTCAGCTCTGAAATCCTGGGTCTTGACTGGGTGGCCACAACTGCTGTAGAAATTTCCCCTCAATTATTTCAGTTCCCCCAGAATGGCAAACCCACTGCAGAGCCTTTCCAGTGTCTGATCTATTTCCTAAGTTAAACAAATCCTTCTAGTGACACATAATGCTCTGGGCTATTGGGTGAGGGGGAAGTAGGGAAATGAATTCGCCTTCATTCTTAACTTCAGTTCCAGAAGCATTTGCACTGGCTCTCAGCCCTGCTTCATTCAAGGGGTTTGACCCGAGAACAAAACCTCAAATCTTGTTATTTCAGTTCTCAAAAACACAGTGAACAAAAGAAAAAAAAAAGAGGGGAAGGTCAGGGGAGAAGAGACTGATTCCAAGTTCTTCATTTAAATCCCAATTCTTAAGATGCCCCAAATTCAATTCCAGGAAAAGAGCAATTGACTCGTGACAAGTCCCAGCTCCAAAACTCACAGACCCAAGCAGAGCTGTGGGTTCGTACGCAGGTCAAGGGACAACATGGAACCGTCTGGTCACCTCCCCAGTCCTCACATGGCACATGCCAGTGTCCCTCTTTGTAAGGGGAGGGGGAAATATAATCTGAAAGCACCTCTCTGGACTCACAACAGACCAACCCCCTCAGTGGAACCTTGACTGAGAGTCAAGGGTAGCCCCAGTTGCATCCAATTTTAACCAAAACAACTAATGTGAACATAATTCCTATAAAGTGCACGTGGTCTGACTAATCAGAGTCCTTCTGAGCCATCAGGGGCAGACTTAAAAACTGACCTGTGATAACCAACATTCTAGAAATGTCCAACTGCCACCCCTCTACCCAGAGGCCATCAGCAAGGGTTCACTGATCTCTGAAGGCCACATTTAGATATTCTTCCCCAAAAGTCAGATAGAATTTGTTGAAAATTAGATATAGCCTTCCTTCCCCCATAAATATACCCAAGACTGAATAGTTTTATCAGATAATTTCCCAAGAACAAGTTTTGTTGAAAAGAGAGGTTTTTGTTGTCACAAGAGAGTGACTTGGTTTCACAGGAGACAAACACTTTTCCTAGATGCTTCCCTACTGGTCATTTTCAATGTACAAATTTTGGCTCAAAATCAGGTCTCTTAAAAATAGCAATTCTATTCCTTTCCTACTCTTTTAATGAGAAAGACTCCATCCAGCAAAGTGGAAATGTAGGATGTTGATGATTCTTGTTAATTCTCAGTAAGGACTTGCAGGTGGCACGCTCAACCCCTGATGTCACGACAACTTACCGACAGGAAGGTGACCGGTGGTTGTCATGGAGATCTGGGCCCGGCAGAAAGTCTTGCTGTCCAACAAATCTGCGGCGGTGAAAAGATAAAGGACGTTAGAACCCCCCCTTACAATGTAACTTTGTGGCTGTTAGAAAACAGGGTAAGAATGTCAAAGGCCCTTAAGTGTCAGGGAGTTAGTTACCTACTGTGCTACCATAGCTGGTGTCGTATAAATAGTTTTCTTCTTTCCAGGTGTTCATGATGGAAGGGTCTGCAAAAGACAGAAAATGGGAATGGTCAGCAAGCATCTTCCCCTGGGTGATGAGTTTGCCTTTTCTAACTCACTGCTCATCAGAGGGGTGCAGGACAGGGTGGGTGGTCCTCATAGAGAAAGAGTAAGATTCTGCTTCCGCCACATGTAAATGCATTTTTCTTCCAGTGTCATGGGGGAAATGGGCTTTGTCACGGCCCCAGCCAGGTGTTCTATACCTGCTGCCTCTTTGGGCAAGTGAGGCAAGTTACCTCGGTGGGACCCTGTCCTAGACCAACGCTTTGGCTTCCTGGGAATTTCCCCAGTCTGCACAGGCAGGGGGTGGTCTCTGGAGTCTTGCATTCTACTCCATAAAATTCACATTAGAAAAAGAAATTGTTGGAGGCAAATAATTGCTAATTAGTGAGCGTCTTTTCCTAGAAATCTCTTCCTGGGAGAACTGATGTTTCTTTGCGGGAAGTCTAGCCAGTCTTCTCGCGGTATCCTTAGGGTTGAAATTCTAGAATTCCCCCTCCAGTTGGGTGACAGCTCCCTCCCTTCAAGATTTCTCCAATTATCTCAAGGGGTGACATAAAATTCTCAAAACAAAACAGAGGAGAAGGAGAAGAGCATGTCACCAAATCAAACAAACAACTTTTTAAGAGTAAGGCCCTTGAAAAAGAACACGCTCCATACTCCCCCCCACCCCCACCCCTACAGCATGCTGGGTAAGTCTGTCTGACTCTTCAGATTTCAGATTTGAAGGAAACTCCCGTCCACCTACCCTAAATGGGGCCCAACTCCTACACAACCCCCATGTCTGGGACGATTTCCAACAGAAGCATTTTCTTTCCTGGCCAAGAGCCGTGAGACCTGGCAGAAGCTCTCACTTTGTCCCCACCAGGAACTTCCTGCTTTTGCCTCTTCACAGATGGAGGCTGCCCTCAGCTCCCCTCCTGTCTGGGTTCTGAATTTCAGGGTCAGGGTGGTAAGCCACTGGCCGAGTTTCATTTTGTTTTTATAGCATAGATAGTATAAAACCTGACTCACTGGCTAAGTCCTCCTGTTTACGCCATAGGGATTTAGCTGGTATTTTAACTAATAGCTACATGTTTGGGCACCCCAAGCCCAGTCTCCTGGGGTCACACCCTTTCTCCTCATTGGGTCACCTCATACACCTGTTGTTGTCTCTGAAAACAAATTGAGCTGAAAAGGTTTGGGGGGTGTTGCCCCCTCTTTGAGCCGCTTCTCCCCTCCTCCTAGGGTGGACCTTCTTCTCCACCCTTTGGCTTAGCTTTTCCGAACTGGCAACACAAGAATGTCTGGATGGTCAAGGAGGAATATCAAGTTATTTGGGCCCTCTCCAATACCAGCCAGCTCCTCCAGTGGGCTGTCTGTCAGGTCCCGGTGGGAGTAGGGGTGGAGCCCCAGGCTCTGGGCCAAGTCCAGGGTCTGCCTCTGGGGCAGTCAGGCCCAGAAACAGACCATATGGGGAACCCAAGTGCTGGTATCTGGGGGAGCAGGGGAGGGTAAGGCTAGGAAAACCTAATTAACATGCTTAGCAGCTATTGTTTCGTCTTTAATAGTGGTAGACTAGCCCCTTATAAGTAGAGCAAAAAACTGCATGGTGTCAATTTCAGCCCCTAGGGACTCACAAACCACCACAGGTCAAATCCCTTCCTTGGTGACTAGCGCACAACCCTCAGGGAGGCCCATGGGAAACCCCTTCATCCCACGCGGCTCACAATCTCATGTGGGGAGTGACCCTGGAGCAGTGGCGGCTGCATGATTTTATCATGGCCAGTGGACTTTGGGGGACTTGCATTGCTCTCCCTAGATGGAGAGGTCATAGGCCAAAGGTTAATATGCAAGGAGCTCTGATTGGTTTCAAGCCTGGGGCACAGCTTCTCAAGGCAGCTCCTGCCTGCCCCCAGCAAGTCCAACAGACCAGCAGAAAGTCCTCAGGAGACAGATTTGGGACAGAGAAAGGAGGGCTGATTGGGCAGGGGAAGAACAAAAAAATGTAGATACTATGAGATTGCAGAGCCCACTCAGAGCCTAGAATAGGGTCTTTTGTCTCAAACTGCACCTGAGGCAGGAGTTGGGTTCCACAGCTGCTTTTGGATGACCCCGCCCCCCCCAAGGACCTTCCAGAACTACAACAGCACCTAGACTCTGCATTTTTCCTTGCTCCTGGACCAGAGCCTGGGTGGTGCCCCGATCGGCAGTGGGAAGCAGACAAGTGTGGGCAGCATCAGTCTAGATTGGAAACAGATGGCAGCCACTCGTCCCGAAGGCAAGGAACCAGGCTTGCGGTGGGGTGGTCTGCTGGATGCGGCCAGGGAAGAGGCATCCCTGGGTTTCCGGCCAGCACACTGGACCCGTCCTGCTCGCACACTCTCCTGACTCCCTCCAACTGTCTTGCCCCAGGCTTTGCCTACCAAGTTGGCTCCCTTTGCTGCTACTCACCAGTTTGTTCCGTCTTGACAATGACATTGTGTGTGGACTGGAACAGGTCGCTGCTGCACTGGCCTGTGAAGGACAGATTGGGAAAGTCTGAGCCGGTCCACGTGGAGCCAAAACTTAAGCCACAGAAGTGAAACAAGCACACAGCCGGCTTCTTGGAAGACCTTCTGCCAATCCTGCTGTCTGTCCGCCCCTGTTGGCTTATGTGAAGGGGCTTCCCTCTCAGCATCTACAAACTGAGCCTGGAGTCCCTGGCCCAGAAAATCAGCAGCTAGGGCATCTGCATCAGATGGAATTATCTGGCCTTGTAGAGGGACGCCATCTGGGATGATGGAAATAGAACTTCAGAAGTCAGAAGGCCAGTTTTCCCACTAACAGCTGCAAGGCACTTTGCTTTTCTGGGTCTTGGTTTCCTTGTCTGTAAATTTAGGGGATTAAACTAGATAAAGTCATTAGATGGCCTTGAAGGTGCTTTCCCCTACTAAGTAAAATATGATACAAAAATGAAATCGAAAATACACAAGAAACCATTTCAACTGGTTTGATTCTTCTTTGATCTTAAATGTAATGAAACCCATTTTGATTAGATCCCACCTATGAGGTATGTCCACATCCATGAACACCAAATTAAAAATATGTAAAAGTTATATATTATAAATATAAATATACGCACACACACGTGAATGAGTTTAGTATTTTTGTCCTCCCCAGCCAAAAGATGAGGTCATACCTTGAACCTCTCTGACCTTTGTGTTTCCCATCTGTAAAATGGGTACAAGGTTTATTTTTTCCATAAGGTCATCAAATGAATCAATTCACTTAGAGTGTCCAGTATAAATAAACACTCAAAGAGTATAAGTTAATAGAAGGTCTACAAAAAGTCAAACAATGAAACAAAGGGAAGAAATCTGGTGAACAAGCATTCAGAGGCACCAACAGGATGCAGTGGGACCGGACAAGTCATGGGAGGTGAAAGATGGCCATAGCACCTTTGCTCTCTGCCTTAGGTTTCAATCAGGGCAGAGCTTTAAAGGAGTGGATTTAATTGAAGGTAGGGAGGTAAATATTTTTAAATCTTCAGCTCTCTCTGAAGACTCCTGAAGGTTATTAATAGAGCCTCGTTTGCTTTGGTTCTAGTAAAAGAAAAATGAGCAACCGTCTGTGTGAGCTGGTTGGGAAGAAGGGAGTGCCCCGGAGCTGCATGAGGTCATCCAAAATGGCCAGCCCAGCTGCCGGCTTTGAGGCCAGACCCTGCGTCTGTCACAGTCTGAATCTGGTTCATAGCCCTGGAACTGACGCTTCCCAAAGTTCCAGCTACCTGCCCAAACACAGGTTCTGCTAAAACAGACATGCCCGTTCTGCTGTGGACAGGCCAGCTTGCTATTCCTGCATACTACTGCCTTCTAAAATGCCCGCAGTTCTCAGAAGAGCTAAGTTTTTACTGGTATTATCAGGAGAGCCTTATGTCAGTGTCAAAGACACTGCAAGATGAGTTATCTGCCCTACGTGGCTGTCTGCCACACTGTCAAGCCGGTGTGGAAGGTGTGTGAATAAACTATCACCGGTGGACAGTGTGTGAAATGGTAGCCTGCCTGTGTTCTGGGAGAGGCTTCAAGAAAGACACATCTGGGGCGCCGCACTAATTCCAGAAATCACTGCAGAAACATCCCACACGTGTGCAGACTGTTAGTTCTAATGCAGCTTCCCCCCCTTTTTTTGAGTTTCTGACCTTTTAAGAATCTGTTGAAATATTGCAAGCCATCTCCTCCCCAAAACACAGAGACCTAATTCTGCATCTCCTCTTACACCCCTGTTGGTCTCGTCTTAAGAACTTAGGTCCAGAAATGTTAAAAAGAAAGAAAGAAAGAAAGAAAGAAAGAAAGAAAGAAAGAGAGAGAGAGAGAGAGAGAGAGAGAGAGAAAGAGAGAGAGAGAGAGAGAGAGAGAGAGAGAGA